TTTCATGATTTTTGTTATATCTGAACAATGACTAAATTTGTATCATAATTGCGTTTGGGATTTTTCATGTTTTAAACATTTTAATGCCTAATAAATTATATTCTACCCCAAACATGACTGAGAATGAATGAAATATGGGTTTGTATTATGTCTACATTATTAACTGTCCCTCAAAAAAGGTAACTGTTTTTTTTAGGATCCCCAAATCCTTTAAACTTACCGATACATTGAAGACTAAGTTAGGTGATAACTGAACAAGCAAAACTGTTAAGTGATGGAGGTCTGTTAGTATTTTGCAGAGATAGCAATCAATGTGACATGGCTTTATGATTAAAATTGATGATAGGGAAAACAGTTAAAAGTGTCAGTGGTGTGGTAAGAGGAGTAATTTTATATTCCATCGCTCTGATCACAGAGACGTCCACATTTACATCTGCAAGAGTGTTTGCTCATCTACATGACATCTCTAAGACATCTCCCAATAGATGCCAAATAGACGTTTAAAAAACGTCTATAAGATGTTTATGATTTAAAATGTAAGTAAAATGGACATCTTAAAGATGTTTATCAGATGATCCAGATCAAGCAGACTTTAAAACTGAACATGCAAAACTGTTAAGTGATGGAGGTCTGTTAGTATTTTGCAAAGATAGCAATCAATGTGACATGGCTTTATGATTAAAATTGATGATAGGGAAAACAGTTAAAAGTGTCAGTGGTGTGGTAAGAGGAGTAATTTTATATTCCATATCTCTGATCACAGAGACATCTGCATTTACATCTGCAAGACGTATTTTTTAGAGTGTTTGCTCGTATAAGATGTTCATGATTTAGAAAGTAAGTAAAATGGACATCTTAAAGATGTTTATCAGATGATCCAGATCAAGCAGACTTTAAAAAGTGCTCTGCCTTTAACCCATCCATGTGCATACACACATCAGTGAGTAGAGAACAAACACACACCTGGAGCAGTGGGCAGCCATGTTTGCTGCAGCACCTGGGGGTTCTGTGCTCAAGGGTCTCACCTCAGTCGTGTTATTGAGTTGGAAGAGAGTGCTGTACATTCACTCCCCCACCTCCAATCCCTTCTGGTACCGAGACTCAAACCCATGACTTTTGGGTTACAAGTCCAACTCTCTAACCATTAGACCACAACAAATGTAAAAATTATGTATGTGTTCTATCTGGGATAAACTCAGAAAAGAGACACTTGAAAATGTAGGAGATTCTAATGATACGATTCTTTTTTGACTGATGTTAATGGTACTATAATTGAAGAAGTAATGTGTAATCTGTTAAACGCAATCTTCAAACCATCAAATACAATTAAATGAGAAGTTTTGTATAATTTATATTAGTTTATTAATTTGTATGGTGTTTTGCATTTTTAAAAGCCTCATTTACCAAAATCACGTGCCTTTTGGCTGAGACTCACTCCGAAGATGGCACTGAAACAATCACAAGATGAAATCAAAGTTTCAATAAGTAAAGCTGAAATTAACAGATTAACAAATTAATGTGAGACAATGGAATAAAAGAAAGACATTTGTACCAAGTTCAGGACTTTTGGGGTGAGAGAATTAGATAATGCAATAGAAAGAAGTATGCACAAAACAAATAAACTAGTAATTGTGACAAATGTGAACACCCAGAAAAGTAAAGCATTCTAAAATGTATTGCATATGAAAGAGGACAAATTCAGCTCTCAACAATTTGAGAATTATTATATCAATCTAAGGTTTAGCAAAACGGATAAAGGCAATCAAGAGTATATGAGGAAATGTTTACATATTTTAAAAAGATAACAGAAAGAATATAGAAGTATTTAGTTTTTTCTCCCCTTTCATTTCTTTATCCCCTTATTAAACTATGTGTGCTCCGCACTCCCGACCAGTAGGTGGCGCAAGTGCACCTTTTACGTTGGTTTCCAAGACCGGCGAAAACACCAGTCTGTGGA